AGGGCGACTTATGAGTCCACATATGCTCCTCACCATATCCCACGAACCTACCATCTTTTTCATTGATCCAAAGAGCATCTATCTGATCATGAACCTCGGCACCGGTCATCATCTCAGGTGCGCGGGTCTCAGAACCATGACACCTTTAGTAAAGTTCTTGATGTCTCGTCGAATGGATGCTCGGCGGGGGAATTGTCGATGTTTGTCGAACACGGAATATTTGCCATATTTCCGCAGCCAATTGAACTGCAGAGCTGCCTTGCACAAGGGGCATGGAAACTTCCCGTGAACACACCAAGCGCTGAATATCCCATATGCTAGGAAGTCATGCATGGAGTATTGATACCAAACATGCATGTTGAAGTTTGTCTTTGTAGCTCGATCGTATGTCCATACACCATGGTCCCAAGCATGGACCAGGTTCATCGAACAAAGGCTCCATGAACACACCTATGTTATTCCTGTGGTGTTCGGAATTATCAACGACAAGAACACATTACGTCGTTGGAAGGAGACGCCGAGGGGAGATTGAGAGGATAACAAACATGGGCCAACAAGTGTATGGGGCAGCCATCATTCCATAAGGATTGAACCCATCATTGCCGATTACAACACGCACATTACGTGCCTCCCCACTTTTATTACGATGAATGTTATCAAAGTGATGCCATGCTTCACCATCGGCCGGATGTACCATCTTCTCGTGGATCGTATCTTTTTTCCATTTTTGTGCCATATCATCTCGCTTTCATGGACTCCTCTGTCATGAATAACCATTGGATCCTCGGTATGAATGGAAGGTACCGTAGAGATTTTCACGGGTACGGACTCGCCTCTTCTCACCATCACTGAGTCTACCTCCGGATACCTAGAGGATTTACACTTTGGACAAGACTTTGCATCCGCGTGTGCTTTTCTAAAGAGGACGCAACCCTTCGGACAAGCATGTATCTGCTCATACGGCATCTTAAGTGCACGAAGGACCTTTCTGCGATTCGTACATGTTCTGTGGCAGAAGGTGACCGGTCGGAAGGATGGAGCCAATAACTATCAACATTTCATCAAAGTTCTCTCGACTGAGGTTGAACTGGGACTTTAAGGCCATTAAGCGTGAAATGCCATCAAGCTTTGAAATCATGTGTGGCCATGAAGGGTTTCCCTGCTGCAGACAACATGTCGTGTACGCCTTTGCGCTTGCCTCTCGCTCCTCCTCCTCCTCCGCCGCCTCGTCCATCAAATAAGTGTGCTTCGTGAAAGTCATCTAACCAAGCTGCTACCCCGGCATCGACATTGTTGTATCCTCGACACGTGGTCTCACCACCTCCTCTCTCACACGATCGGCTTCACCGTGGTGGGTCCACTGGGTATAGTTTTTCAGAAATCCATGCCTAGCCGGATGTGAAGTCATCACCTCCTTTATCCGCCTCTTTACGTTTTTACAGCTTGATGTAGGGACAAAAAAAGCGGCGCGCTCCGGGAGCTGGTCAAATACTTGCTTGATGAAAGCCTCGGTCTTGTCGACCCATTCTCTCCGGTAATCTCATGGGCGCTCCGCGGCCCGAGTACATCCACTCACGGTCATCCATCCTCTAACATATATATCACTAAGTAATAAATATAACCATGGACTTGCATCTACACGCCGTTCCTACCATGCATAGGTAAGGATAGGTCCTAATCCCACTCGAGGATGCGAGATGGTGTTAGTTCCCATGGTGCGGTCCTATCCAAAGCAATTTCGGCAAGACCTCCCATTGTTCTCCAAATACACGTCCCGGCAGGAGATCGTATCCGGAGAACAACAGAAGGTATTGTCGAAACTCGCTCTCGATCGGAGCGAACCATGGAAACTAACACCATCTCACAAGCATCCTCGCCTGTCCAAAAAACGTGGACAATTGAAATGAGATACGGTTATTGATATGCAAAGATCTCGCATATTTCTAACCGTATCTCTTTCGAACGGGAGACACCTAACTGGGTTACGTGGAGATACATGACTAGGACAAAGAAAGAGTGGTTATACCTTAGGTGGCGGTGAAGTCGCAGAGTGGTTATACCTTAGGTGGCGGTGAAGTCGGCTAAGCGGGGCCGTGGCGGGTCGGTGCGATGGCGAGGCGACAGCAAGTGGCAGACACAGGGACACCGGGTACTCCGACTCGCTCCTGCAAAAAGAAAGAAAGAAGCAAAATAACGTCAACTCAAAAATTCGGCAAAGATCTCCCCGAACGAGCGGTGAGGTTTCCAAACCTGAAAGAAAACCACGACACGATGGCCGACAACCACATATATATCAAGGAACCACATGCACTTAATTATCAACTACTACTACTCTAACTACTACAACTACTACTATCAAGCTGATAAAAACTTATCTTTCCCATCTCATTCAGTTCCATCATTTTTCGTTCTCAACATTCGTAAACACTATCAAGCTTAGAAAATTGTATGACTTGACCGAAAAGCTTACACAATTTCCACTGCCATATCTGGTGGCACAAAGGGAATTGGCAAATATGTTTGTGCATCATTTCAATCAAGTTCGCTTCTCGTGGAACAGTACATGTTTGAATTCACAAGCAATACATTCCCTGTTAATCCTATTTTGCCTTCTCATCATTTCAACCAGCAAATAATTTTCAGACACTTTGCTTGTCTATAGCAAACAATGTGACAAATGGATTTAGGATGCACAGTAATTTAGTAAATGCAGGAATTCTCCTTTTAAGAAATACAAATTCGGATATTTCTATTTTTAACATTATAATCCAGTTAGCCTCTTTTTGCTCACGGAGATAACTTAGTTTATTTGACAAGAAAACAAAGTACTACTACATGATACATTGCAACTGTGCACGAGGAAGAAGTTTTAATTAAATTCTTTAGATGTTTCATCACAGGTGCCAGCTCAGTAGCTGTTTCATCATTCCATATCAATCACCAGCCCATAGCAGCCAAGAATCATCAGTACGGAAGAAAAAGAAACTACTAGTAACTCTCGCCTGAGCTTAAACATATGAGAAACTGTCATCTGAGTTTAAACATCTGAGATAAACAAAATGTCTGAGCTTAAAACCACACTACATTACTGTCAAGCAAACGACATGCAGCAAAAGATCTTACCCTCACAGTTACCTCTAATAATAATGATAGTTATTTTAATTTAATTGCATTTTATATACATAGCATACGACATTCAAATCAAAGCAGATCAATGGATGCAGAACCGCATGCTGAAATGAAATTAGATTCGATCCGAATACAAATTCACAAAGCATAAAGGGAAGAGAAAGGGGTGGGCATACCTGTTGGGTGGCCGACGAAGACCTGACGAAGGGTACGATGAAGACGCCAGCGCCTGGCGTGCGGCGGCGGCGGCGACCTTGACTCCTGGCGTGACGGAGGCACGGAGCAGGATGGGGCGGGCTGGCTCGGGCGGAGCGGCGGCGGCAGCGCGCGCGGCTGGGCGTGGCGGGCTGCGGCGGCGGCGGGGCTGCGGCCGAAACGGTTCACGCGGCTTGCGGGGCTGCGCCGAAACGTTTAAGTGGTGAAGCCACTTTGCCGAGAGCCAGATCTGGGAGGCTCTCGGCAAACCTTCCCCTTTGCCGAGAGCCCTCAGATTCGGCTCTCGGTAAAGTTATTTTTTTTCAAATTCGGTTCGAATTTTTTAACTAGCTAGCTGCACAAAAAAATATAAAAAAATAAAAATTATTATTTGCCGAGAGTAGCTCTCGGCAAACCTATTCGCTGAGAGCCCGCTCTCGGCAAAAAATTGATCCAGGCCAGGTAAAAAAAAAGAAATATGCGCTGAGAGCGGGACTAGTTGCTCTCGGCAAAGAGTCTTTGCCGAGAGCAATCCCCTGAAGCTCTCGGCAAACCAAATCCAAAAAAAAATTAATAAACAACAAACGGCTCCGGAAAAATACGAATTTTTGCCGTGTTACAACTTATGCTCTCTAATGGCTATACAAAAAGTTTGGAACTCCAAAACTAATTCGACCGTGACATTGTTTGAAAATCCTAATGACTCCTTCTCAACTTTATGAAACTTATTCGGAGATGTCTCAGATTATAAGAATCATACGCAACCACTTGTGCGAAACATTTTCAATTTTTACCACAGCCTCCAAGTGTGATACCATGACTTCATTGCAAATATCACAATTTTCCGACTTCGTTTCCTTTTTAAGAATTTTTAAATCGTTAAGCAACATATGTTCGTGGTCTTCGATTCAGAAAATAAAAGGTGAAAAAACGTCAACAAGATGTTATTTGCCCTCAATAATGCATAAATAGCATGAATATCATTTTCTACTTAATTTTTTCCCGTGTTTTTAATCAATCGCTATTCAAATTTTAATCGATTAAAAACTCATAGAAATGCAATTAATTAATTATATATAGCAAATAATTACAAAAATACACAAAATTTTAATATTGAGTACAACCTGTAGTATGTCTGTAGAGAAAAAAGTTTGGAGCATATGAAATAAAAAATTATTTAATTGGAGAGAGTTAGGAGAAGAGAAACACATATACATGAAATATAGAAACCACATTTGCCGAGAGCACGGAGGGGCTCTCGGCAAATTTTTTGCCGAGAGCGACTCTCGGCAAAGAGGTTTGCCGAGAGTAGTAATGTGGAGGGGCTCTCGGCAAAGCGGTGACGCCGTCGTAGCGGTGAGTATTTGCTTATGGGCCCGCTGCAATGTTTTGCCGAGAGCCTTATTTTGCCGAGAGCGCCGCCTACTGACAAAGGACCGTTTTGCCGACGGGCATTTTTTGCCGAGCGGCTCTCGGCAAAACGGCCCACTTCGCCGAGAGTCAAGCTGTTTCTTGCCGAGATGCAGCCCCACGGCGATCCCATCACTTGTCGACAAACCGATGTTTGCCGAGAGCCGCTCTCGGCAAACGTTTTCTTTGCCGAGAGCCCGCGTTTTTGCTCTCGGCAAAAATATAGGATCTCGGCAAAGGACGTTTTCCCGGTAGTGGAGGTGGGCATGGCGTGGGGGTGGAGTCATGGCAGACTAGAGCGTCAAGGTGCAGCGACGGACCTAGGTTTTTACCTCTGGGTATGCGCAGCAAAAAAAATTCTTATGCAATTCGGTAAACCATATATAATTTAGTAAATTTTTTCTTTTTTTCTTTTTTTACATTGAAAATTTCTACCTATCTCTATGACTGGCGGACCCCAGGGTATGCTGTGGCCCACCCTACATACCCTGTGGGTCCGTCCCTGTCAAGGTGGAGTCACAGTCTCGATGGGTCACGGTGCACCGAAGCCTCTAAGCGAAGTGTCGTGTTGCACGAGAGGAGAACGGAGTCCAACAAGACGAGTGGAGAGGAGAAATAGTGGGGGGCAGGGTCGGAGAGGGGTAGGTGTGGAGGCGGTGCATTTGGGAGAAACCGGAGGCATGCGGATGAAGCAGGGGATATAAGGGAAATATAGATACAGAAACATGAGGATGAAAGAAAATAAAAAAACACAAGGGTCTTAAGGACATTTCACCATTGTCTATCAGGGAAGTTTTACCAAACCTTTTTCACCTGTGGAGTAGCTCCACCAGACCAAGCTAAAAGAAACTGCTTCATTAGTGAATCATAGTTGTACTAAACAAGTCCTTAATAATCTTGCGCATGTCTTTTATCTGGGGTTGCATCATTTGAGACTTTCTGAAGTTCCGAGCAGTGATGATATTATTGCTACATGTGCAAGGGTTTATCTTGGTTGTGGGGTCTTTCATCACCCAATATAATGGTCAAAACTTCGATTGGCTTTTGGTACAACATCTCTGATTCATATTAAGTTGGGCCTAGTTGGAGCAACTATACACAATAACACAATACTGCTCCTATATATATATATGAAATCAGTCCTTAGGAAAAAAAACCGCACAAAAATCCCCAAAAATTAATCTAATTAACAGTGCTAACTCCATTCACTGATGATGCACGCAGGAACAGGACAGCGGTCTTCAACTGGTGCATCTGCTCCTGGCGTGCGCCGACTTCGTCTCCAAGGGGGACCAGCCATCGGCGCTGCGCCACTTGCACCTCCTCCGCCGCGTGGCCTCCTCGCTGGGCGACTCAATGCAGCGCGTCGCCTCCTACTTTGCCGACGCCCTCGCCGCCCGCCTCACCCTCTCCTCCAACCCGTCCTCCTCCTCCTCCGCCTCGGGCGGTGGCCACGCCACGCCGCGCGCGGCGCGCGGCGCGGCGCGGGCGCGGGCGTAGCGCCCTACACGTTCCCTCCGTCGCCGGACACGCTCAAGATCTACCAGATCCTGTACCAGGCCTGCCCCTACATCAAGTTTGCGCACTTCACCGCTAACCAGGCCATCTTCGAGGCCTTCCACGGCGAGGACCGCGTGCACGTCGTCGACCTCGACATCCTGCAGGGCTACCAGTGGCCGGCGTTCCTGCAGGCGCTGGCCGCGCGCCCCGGCGGCCCGCCGACCCTGCGGCTCACCGGCGTCGGGCACCCTTCGGCCGCCGTCAGGGAGACCGGGCGCCACCTCGCCTCCCTCGCCGCGTCCCTGCGCGTGCCGTTCGAGTTCCACGCCGCCGTCGCCGACCGGCTCGAGCGCCTGCGCCCCGGCGCGCTCCAGCGCCGCGTCGGCGAGGCGCTCGCGGTCAACGCTGTCAACAGGCTGCACCGCGTTCCTGGCGTGCATCTCGGCCCGCTGCTCTCCATGATCCGCGACCAGGCGCCCAAGATCATGACGCTCGTCGAGCAGGAGGCCGGCCACAACGGCCCCTACTTCCTGGGCAGGTAAGTCATCGGAAATCGTTTGATATTGCCAAGATAGCCTTGTTGGCACTTGGCAGTGAAGATGGTCAACTGAAAAATCTTTTGATTTCGTATCAATAATTCATCACTAATTACCTTTGATGAGGAAGTACTAATCGTGTTGCACTCTCGTGGTTGATTGTATGTATGAAGGTTTTTGGAGGCGCTGCACTACTACTCGGCGATCTTCGACTCGCTGGACGCGACGTTCCCGGCGGACTCGGCGGCGCGGATGAAGGTGGAGCAGTGCCTGCTGGCGCCGGAGATCCGGAACGTGGTGGCATGCGAGGGCGCCGAGCGGGTGGCGCGGCACGAGCGGCTGGACCGGTGGAGGCGCCTCATGGAAGGCCGCGGCTTCGAGCCTGTGCCGCTCAGCCCGGCCGCCGTTGGCCAGAGCCAGGTCCTGCTCGGCCTCTACGGCGCTGGTGACGGGTACCGGCTCACCGAGGACAAGGGCTGCCTCCTCCTCGGCTGGCAGGATCGCGCCATCATCGCTGCCTCCGCGTGGCGGTGCTGATGATCGTCATTCGTCAGTGCTCGTCGATCGTCATCGGCGCGGCCTCAGCGGAGAGTTGACAACTGTTAGGTTTGTCTGTTGCATGGATGCATGTGTGGTTATATTTGGATCCTTAATTAGCTTCCTGTATGATTGTGAGATTTGTCATGTGAAAAATACAAGATAAAGGTATACTCTGATGGAGAGGAGCAACATATTAAAGATATATGTTGTTGAGCCACTGATGATGAAATTAAGTTTGATTTACTTGTTTTCACATATACTCCCTCCGTATCACAAATAGGGGACGTTCTAGAGCCGAGCGGAGTTTGCAAGTTAGAAGACGTCCACGCGCTGGAACTGGGTTTTGGACGCGATTGCCCCTGGGCCACGCGCGCCGCCCGTCCGCTCGCCTCCCTCGCCATCGCGCGTGCCTCGATCGCGTCTCCTTGACTCGCCTCCCACGCGCGCCGCCCGTCCGATCGCCCTGCTCGCCTCCCTCGGCACTCCTCGGCTCGCGTCCTTAATTATTCGCGACTCACCGTCCACAGCTCGCTCGCCGCGAGCAGAGTCCGCCGGCTAGGGTTTAGGGTCGGCGTGCACGACTCGCCGCGGAGCACGCACGCTCGCCATCTCCCTCAGTGCTCGCCATGGAGCCCGGCGCGGTGGACGGCGGCACGGTGAACGGCGTCCCCGCGGTGGACGGCGGCGCGCGGGTGATGCTCGCCGCGGACGTCTGGCCGGAGTCAGAGGAGGTCGCCGCGGTGGACGCTTGGCCGACTCGCGCAGGAGGATGTCGGGCCGAGGTCGCCGTGGAGGAGGTCGGGCCGACTCGCAGAGCTCACCAACGCGACTCCGTCGACCAGCCGCCGCTCAACAACGCCGAGACTCCGTCGACCCACCGCAGAACTCCGTCGTCGCGCTGCAGGACTCCGTGGACATGGTGCTAGAATCCTTGCCGCCGGGGGCGTTTGTATGCGGCCGGTGTCATCTCATCCATGAGGATCGCGAAGCGTGGAACCGTGCGCACTCTCGGTTCTATCCATGCCCTAGTTGTGGTCTCGTCCACTCGGACTATGCCATCAACGCCATGCTCGGCCGCATCAAGGTGAACTGCAAGCTTTTCATGGAGCACTACAAGGGCTTGCTGCCGACAAAGCATCGGTAAGATAACTTAGAAAGGATGATTTAGTTCATGCAACAATCGGCAATGATTTAGTTCATGCAACATTACTAGAAAGCAAGATGTCTCTACAACAAAAGCTAACAAGCATCATTACTTCATGCAGCAAGAGTAGCCTCGGATTCATGTAGCAATGATGGATCACAAGGGATATAAGATGGCAGCCTATCTTCTTTTTCTAGTGTTGCTTTTTTCATGTGAGGTATCTTAAACTTGTTGCAACCTTTTACTTTCATTGCTTCGATGAAGACACCTTTGTAGTGTTATAAACATCCGGTTTGCAAGGTGTGGCGAGTACTCCATGAATGACTACAAAACAATTGTGCAACAAATGAATGAATGAAAAAAATTTGTTGTTAACAAAAAAAATTGAAATATGTGTGAACAATTTGAATTGCTTCCATGAATTGCAAATTACCTCTTTGACGGCTGGAACTAAAGCCTCTATAGTTTTTGCATCCTTCTTATATTGAATTGCTTGTATTGCTCTAAAGAAACTCCAAATCAAGAATGTTGAAATCCGAAGAGTTTGGAGGTTGACAAATTAGGCGAATATCAAATCCTCCTAGCTTAGCGACCGCACAAAATTCCGGATCATCCAATTTCAAATGAGATGGTGCATTATCTTGTTGGATGAAGATTGGTCTACCCACATCTTCTCTTGACCATTTGATCTAATGACCGGCAACACTTGGTTAATCATGAAATCCCTAATCACATCTCTAGTGACCATGTAATGGGCTTCATAACCATGTCTCCGCAAACACGGCCGGTCCTCTCGTTACTTCTCATAGCCTAATACAAAAGGCAAGGGAGAGAAGCGATGGTGTATTGAACTTCACTAGTCTTTATGGTGGTAAACTTGCCTCGTGCCGAAGTTGCCTTCGGATAGGATTTCCCGGCCCGCCAGTTGAGGTCGCGGCGCGGCATCTACTCCATGGATCCGTTGGGTTGTTGTTGTTGCACGGACCCAGCGTTCGGTTTTAAACTACACACAACTAATCGCGGCGGGAACGATGCACGTGTCCTTGATGCACCCACAGACGCCGACTTGTGGGGTCAAGGAAACACGCACCGCGGCTGTAACGTGGGGCCACCCAGCCCCGTGGCCGTGAGCACACGAGCAGAGCTGTCCCGCAACAGAACAGAGCGACCGCGCGGATCCCCCGAGATCTGCACCGCCGCCACTGACAAGCGCAGCCCCAGCGGCTGGCGTGGTCCGGGCTTCAATCATGGGAAAAAGCAGACAAAAAACGGTGCTGCGTGAAACCGTGGAAAAGCCCCTGTAAATTCCTAGTAATTACCGCCTATGGCTAGGCAGCAGCCAGCCCAGCCGCTGAGCCGGGCGAGCGCCAGCGGCAGGCGAGCAGCACCACGCTCCCAAAGGCGAGAGGACGGGGACAAACACAGCACAGGCGCGGCACGCGCGGGTGCACTGCCACCACTGACCGAGGTCCACCAGGCCCATCGGCGCCGCGTGACGCGACCCACGCAGTCAGTCCCTGACGCTTCGGACCCGCTGAAGGTGGGGACCAAGTGTCAGTGGGGAGGGCAAGACAGTAGAAAGGGCAGTGAGGGTGAGACTCCACCCGTCTCACTGAGCCCCTCGTCAGTCGTCACGCCGACCGAGCGGCTGGCTGCCACCACGCCTCGGGGCGAGCAGCAGCAGGAGGGGCAGGCAGGGCAACAACTCTTGGTAGATCCACCACCCGCCCGCTTGCTCGCCCACTCCGCCTGCCTTGCTCCGCTTAGCTTTGCTTCTGCTCTGCTCGGCTTGCGGGGGTTTGCGGGCGCAATGCGGTGAAAGTGGTGGTAGAGTAGAGGTGGGTGAAGGGAAGCGGAGCTGCGGTGGAGAGGAGACGAGATGGGGTGCGCGCAGTCGCGGATCGAGAACGAGGAGGCGGTGGCCCGCTGCAAGGAGCGGCGCCAGCTGATGAAGGCGGCCGTCGCGGCGCGGAACGCCTTCGCCGCCGCGCACTCGGCCTACGCCGCCTCGCTCAAGGACACCGGCGCCGCGCTCTCGGAGTTCGCGCACGGGGAGGGCTTGCCCCCGCCGTCGCCGCCGCCGGGGGCGTCGGACGAGACGGCGGCGCCCGTTGCCGCGCAGGGCGGGATCGGCGCGGCAGCGGCGGGGGCCTCGGCGTCGGGGGCCGACGCGATAATGCCGCCGCCGCCGCCGCTCGACTCGCTGCCACCGCCCCCGCCGCCTCTGCCGGATTTCTCGCCGTCGCCGGCGAAGATCCACCGCTCCATCAGCATGCCACTGCCGCCGTCGTCGGGCAACAAGAATCCTGCCATGCTCCACAGCGACTCCATTAGGGAGGAGGACGAGGACGAGGACGAGGACGAGGCAGAGAGGGAGGAGGAAGAGGAGGATGACGGCCACCTCGACGACCGTCGGCAGCGGTTGCGCCACCGCCCGCCGGTGCCCCAGCCCTTGTCGCCGCCGCCACCGGAGACGCCGGTTACTCCTCAGCCTCCGCCACCTCCTCCCCCGCCCTCGTCGGAGATGAAGGCCGGAGTTGACACGTGGGACTATTTCTTCTCCATGGACGAGGGGATGGCCTCCATCGCCCCTGATGATGAGGAGATCATGGCGGAGCCGGAACCGCCATCGCCACCGCGCGTGCCTCATTCCCCTCCGCTGGCGGCCGTGCCGCTATCTGAGGAGTTTGGGGAGGAGCCGCGGACGCCGGAGATGGCCACTCCACCTGCGTCTCTGCCTCCGAAGCCGCTGAAGCACTCGTCCAAAAAGAAGGGAAAGGGGAAGCTTAAGGCGGCGCACCATCAACACACAGAGTCGGCGCCACCGGTCACGCTGGTCACCGGTGGTAGGGCGGGTAAGGTAGTCCACGCCGAGATGCCGCGTGTGGACCTCCTCCGCGTGCTTGCAGAAATCGACGAGCGGTTCTTGAAGGCGTCAGAGAGCGCCGGTGAGGTATCCAAGGCGCTGGAGGCCAACAGGATGCATTACCACTCCAATTTCGCCGACAACCGAGGTCAGTGACTTGATTGTGCCCTCATACGTGCCAATTTTGGATATTTTAGTCTCCCAGGTGGTGGCCTTTTGTGTCTGTTGTTGTTGGATTTGTAAAAAAAAAAACCAGTTTTGCTGATGGTGATAGTGATGCGATGGATTCTTTGGTAGATAGAGGTCAAGAACTAGTGTCTCAGAGGTTGGTAGTGGTGGTGGGGCTGTTGCTGAGTCAAGTGAGCTCCCACACTCCACTATCCCATTTTCCCCAACAGGTAACATGCGGGCGTACAAGGCGTTTTGTAACTACTAGGCAGCTGTTGGTTAACAATGTTTCTGGGACAATCATTGGTGCACTATCGCTTCATTATTATTCCGTCTTACATATAGTCAGCATCTTGATCAATGGATGACATATTGTAACCGTGTACTGAACTTAGAATGCAAGTTCCATAGTGATGTAATTTTTCTATGCAGTTTGTCCTGTGTGTAAGCTTCAGAATCTTGGCTGTGTTTTCTCTTTTATGGTGAAGTGGCAAAACCAGATTAGATCAATTGTGAAGTAAGGCTCACTAAAATTGACAAGAATGAAGAGAATAAAGCATATGATATCTTCTTATGAAGAAACCAAATTCTTAGACGAACAATAAATTATCACTGATAGTATTGTGTTGCTAAATTATCACTGATATGTTTTTAATTTTAATAGCTGATGAAAACTGCCAGTGCTTTAAAATATATAGAATCATGGACAGGAATCATAGTGGTGGGTAGTAATTGTGTTACCTGTTTGATTTGTATATACATAACACGTGAAATATTAATTGTGACTAAGGATGGATAACCAGTGTGCATTCCTTTTAGCATACAAGCAGGGAAGATTTAAGTACTATCTGTCTAAACATGGCATTCAGAATATGTATGTTAATACTATGTAACTATGTGGTTTTTCATTAATTATCTGCATAGTGTGACACCTTGTCATTATGAGGTTCCCATGTGCAAAAGGCACCTCCATCTTTTGTCTTCCATCTGGTCACATATGCTGGGCTGCTGGAAATTCTTCCTCATCGTTGTAACTAATTTTTACTTCCATTGCATTCTAGTCTTCCATCGTTGTGACAATTTTTGACTTAAGTTGTGTTTGGGAAAATGATGGTGGATGCCATCACAGTCACCTGTGCGCTTTCTTTTGTTCAACTGTTTCAAAAATCAGCTGCCTAGCTTCTTTGGTGCCACTTTGGTGCATAGCGCAACTGATTTCTGCTTAGCTTTCCTGGTTGGGGATTAGGCACTAGGCACCACCCCTGGCTGCCTAGCATAATACAAATTAATTTGTTATTATACAGAATTAAAAAAGAGACAAGTTTGGCTTATTCTTTCATAGTAACAAAACTCTAGTGACGTAGTTAAGGGAGGCCTTTTTATTAGTATGTTTATGCATTCTCCTATGTGATCCAATGGACTAAAATGTGTCACCACTGCCAGTGAAGATGACATAGCTATTTTGATTATTTTGTGTCCAAATGCATAAGAGTCCTTAATCTCTTCTGCTAATTTTTTCTATAAAAAGATTGCACCAGCTGATCAATAGTTATGCTGTATTCTTTTAATTTACTTGAGCATTAGTCATAATAAAAAATACATTCTGCCATGCTTCACTTGCACTTAGTGTAATATAGCTGTCTACTTACACTCCTTCATTTGATCATGTTCATAATAACTTTTGCAGGGCATATTGATCATTCTGCAAGAGTCATGAAAATAATTACATGGAATAGATCCTTCAAAGGAATGCAAAATGGTGATGATGGGAAGGATGACTTCGAAAATGATGAATTGGAGCCCTTGGCAACTGTAGTAGATAAAATCTTAGCATGGGAGAAAAAGCTCTATGATGAAGTGAAGGTACATCTCATTACTTAGTTTTTTTTATACCTAGCAATATGAACTTTTATATTCTGTACTGGTTCTATGGAATATACGGAGTTTGGTCTGGTGCACCTGCAATTGCTTTCCATTTTCTGCTGCAAGTATGTACTGGTTTTCAACTTTTTGCCCGTCCTGGTGCCTTCCTCTAGTTTAAAGCACAAAAGGCGCATGCCCAGGCACTAAGACAGGAGTAGCACAGTAATAGCTCCTCAAGGAGTAACCAGGTGCAGTGCCATGCCACTGTTGTCAAGGCGTGCAACTTTACCTCCCAAGTGCAAGATGCATGGTGCAGAAGCACTTGGCCCAGCTATTGCCCGCCGGACGGTCTTGCTGCAATCCAGTGGATTGAGCTTCCAGTAGATAAAATTGGAGTGCCCATGAGTGGGACTGCTGAATCTGCTGGTACCCTTGACCCCTTACATCATTTTGCCGACAGCGTTGATGGCATCAGTGCTTATCATTAAGGACAAGGCAGAGGAGGAAAGGTGGGTGTGGGTGTGGGTGTTGGGGGGGGGGGGGGGGTGTAAAGATGGCAACAGACAAGAAAACCCCGCGGGCACCGGACCTGGTGGGCGTGGATATGGGCGTGAACCTGTGCCCGTAGGCACGGGCGCGGGTACAGAGTTGTACCCAACGGGCAAAGATAGACGGGTAAGGAAATCGCAAACCCACCAAATCTGCACTGACATGTGGGGCCATTATAGAAGAGGTATATAACTTCAGATCTTAGGGTTTGATTCATCCCAAAATCGCAATCCCCACTCCCACCAGCCGAGCAGCGGCCGCCGCCATCCACGTGACCCCGCCTCCCTCCCCACTCGGTCGCGCCTCCCTCGTGCCCCAGTCACCTAGCGGTCGCGACCCCGCCTCCCCCGTTAGTCTGTGCTCCTCCACTCGCTGCGGCAACGTTGCACCTCCCCCGTCACCCAGCGGTTGCACCCGGCTCCTACTCCACTTGCGGTGGCGGCGTTGCACCTCCCCCGTCACCCAGCAGTCGGGCACGGCTCCTGTTCGACTCGCGACGAGTCCCCCCCGCGGTCCTGCTGCCTTCGGCGTGCAGCGAGAAGGAGCGGGTCGGAGGCTCGGAGCTGCTCTGCACCGGGTCGCTCCACGCCGGCGCACACGCGGTTACCCTTTGCCTATCCTCGTCCTCGTCAAGCCGCCCCGTCCAGCTGCGGTCCGTCGAGCCGCCTGGCAGCCGTCGTCAGTCATCCCGTCTCACTGACGCGTCGTCCTCTTCCAGATCTGGCGGGCATACCCGTGAGCAAGCCATGGCCGCGGATAACGGGCGCGGTCACAGGATAGCGCCCGTGGCGGGTGCGGGCGCGGCACAAAATTTTGCTCGCGGGCGCGGGCATTTTTCCTGTTGCCATCTTTTTTGGGGGGTGGAGGATGAGGCAGCAGTTCACTGCTTCTATTCGACTCCTAGATTGGGTGGTTCTCATGGAGATGGTGGTTGAAGATGAAGCATGCCATCATTGTTCGTTTAGGTGGCTTCTGTAGATCAGATGGGAAGAGTCCTGGACCCCAGTAGCACCCAACAACATGGTTTGGGATGAGGTATGCTGTGGGCTTGTTGGGCACGGTTCAACCTCTGACATCATCTGTGACCTCATCTGCGGCTGCTGCCTTTCATCAGGCATACATGTGCCGTACTGCCTAGGTGATTTAAAGATTTTGTGCCTAAGTGTGTCACTTTTGAGTGTACCATGGAAGACCCACTGAAAAATATTTCATGTCAAATTATGCAGTATAAACTTTTATGCAATTATGCTGCATGGGAGTAAGGAATTTTTAATAGTGCACTTAATCATAACACTTAAATATGGCAGAGAATCAAAGTAATATAACTTTTCTCAATATATGAATGGAACATATGGTCCATCATGTGAATGGAGGTTTGACATCTAAATTTCTATCTGGCTATTGTAATCTTAAAGTTTGAAGTGAAGATTTGGTGTCCAATTTTCTATATCTGTTTATTGTAGTCTTAAAATTTGAAGTTTGCATTCACTACAACTTTTCAACATGGCTGTATTAATATGTTTTTTACATGTTCCCTAATATCTGAAACAAAATATAGTACCAATCATATAAGTTTTCTGTAACATTTTTGCTTGATTAGAGAAGGATTAGGCAACTCTGTTATAGTTATAAATTTGACATTGATGCTTGTTTCATTTGATGCATTTGAACTGTATGGTTTCCACATGGCTGTTGCTAAAATTCTCCCTTGTCCTCATCTGTACAGGCTGGTGAGATTATGAAGCTTGAGTATCAGAGGAAGGTTGCTTTGTTAAATAGACAAAAGAAACACAATGCTGCCATTGAAGTTCTTGAGAAAACGAAAGCTGCGGTAACGCACTTGCATACTAGATACATAGTTGATATGCAATCAATGGATTCGACTGTGTCAGAAATTCAGCATCTCCGTGATAATCAACTTTACCCAAGACTATTGGATCTTGCTGACCGGTACCTTATCTGGATCTTTTTTTTTTCCTATCATGCATGATGACAAACACTGAACTTTTCAGATGAGTTTTTACTTTTTAGAACACCAATACATCATTTCGTTTCTGTGTTTAATATAGTTGCATGCAATTTTTATGACACCCCTGTATGCAGCACTTCTCTTCTGATTCAGTAACAATCAATTTTGAGCTTACTCACAGCATCAACAGTTTATTGTGAAACCTGACTTGCTGTGCATGAACAGGATTTTTTTTTAGTGGCATCACATATTGTTACTCGCTTTGTTTGGTTTATTAATTTCTGTTAAATGAATGGTATAGTAGCCCAACAGTTTTTATAATCTATATTTTCTGCTATCATTTCAGGATGGCAAAAATGTGGGAGGACATGCACATGCATCACGCAAACCAGCTGGAAACTGTCCTAAATCTGAAGTCAGTTGATATTTCTGATTCCAGTATTGAAACAAGTGATTATCACCACAGCCACACACGACAGCTGCGAGATATTGTAGATAAGTGGATAACAAATTTTACTGACCTCATGAACTATCAAAAGGAATACATAAATGCTCTCTATAGCTGGTTGAAGTTGAACCTTATACCCATAGAGAGCAGCTTGAAGGAGAAAGTAACATCACCACCCAGGATGCAACAACCTCCTATCAAAGCCTTTCTTCAAGCCTGGAATGAGCACCTAACCAAGCTGCCTGATGATCTTGCCAAGACAGCCATTGTCACTTTACGAGCAGTCTTGGATACCATATTAGGTGTTCAAGATGAGGAGTTGAAACAGAAGGAGACCTGTGAGCAGACTCGTAGGGAGTACATGCGTAAGGCCCGGGCCTTTGAGGATTGGTACCACAAGCATTCACAGCGCAAACCGTTCGACGTTGATCCAGAGAGCGGTGAGGGGATAGGACATAAGGATGCAGTCACAGAGAAGAAATTCGTGGTGGAGAGCTTGAAGAGCAAGCTTGATGATGAGATTGAATCCCATAATAAGCTATCAAAGCAGGTCAGGGAGAAGTCCCTCTCAATCCTGAAGGCACATCTGCCAGAGTTGTTCCGCGCTCTGACCGACTTCTCCAGCGCCTCTTTTGATATGTACTCGAAGCTGAGGCTGATGTCGTTGATGCAGGATCAGGGAAACAACTAGATGGATAATATGTATAGGAGTTAGGATCAGTAATATCCCTCCCTCCCTCGCCAAGTGTTGTAATGCATGTGCTCTCCTACCCCTTTTTGCGGTATGTGTAATAGGCTAGTAGCTCTTTGGATGAGGATAGTTGGGGATGGTGCCTGTTCTTGTTTAATTTATTGAATTGATGAATTCATCGGGTACTTTAGCGTGGACATGCTGGATAGTTAGCTTGTGATGAACTGGTTACAATCTGTGAGGGTGAAAGCCGTGGTCTATGTAAATGGCAAATTTTGTTGTGATATTCATCCCTCCAGTTTTCTGAGGCACCTGTGACAAGTAGAGAACCTGCACTGACCTAAATTGACACCTGCGTTTTCTTTTTTGAAGATATCTACGTTTTCTCAGATATGAACGTAAATTATAGCTGTATGGTGCTTTTTATCAATTTGGGTTCTGAACTTGATTTGGCTGTCTTTTATCCCGTCGGTCTTCAGTCGCAACGGAACCAGTGATGCTGTATTGCTGTTGCAATGACAACCTTGCTGAAGAAAGAGATCATTCTTAGAGCCCGCGAGAATGGGATTTGGGAGTGTGGACATGCCGTCAGCCACAACTACCCATGTGCCGCCTTGGAGCTGCCGAACACACCTGCTGGGGAGAAGGCTAGAGGGGAGAGAGGAGTTGAAGTACCACTATTGCCCAAGTTATCAACAGTCCCATACCAAGTGTTTCTTGGCATTGGGACTTTATAGGATCCAAGTTTGCTAGACAATTTACAGCCCGCTAGGCAGCCACCGTTTGCTAGTCAATTTGGCTTAGTAGAAACAATGTTGTTTCTGAAAAAAATATCATTATTCTTCTTAGGTTATCTACATGGTTATACACTCGCTCTATACATAGGCTATTCTACAAGAGCCGCATATGCAGGACTTGATCGTGGTGGCTTCACAGCGGTTGGTGTCAGCGGTCAAGGTTATTTTTTTGGGCAGATGAGTGTCAACTAGTCTTCGTACTGATGGTTACTAGAGTGTGCGTGGTGTTTTGCTTTTTTGTGGCTGTGTGTTTTATTTAAGCAGAGATCGGAAGGCATTTTTCAAAACTTTGTATCACCTCAATGTAATGTTCTTGAAAATTAATAGTCTTCCTTTATGGAAAAAATGATACGAGAAGGAAAGGGGAAGAAAAGTATTGGCAACAATTCGAGTGTGATCAGGACCTTTCTGGTCTCGGTGTCTAGGGCTCTCCCTAGGCGACTCGAGGAAGTTACGGTGGTGACATCCGGTTCGTCGTCGTTCCTTCCTCCTTTGATCTCCTAGTGCGTGTTGGCCTTGGAGAGTCCTGATTAGGTTTCCCTTACGCCCTGATCTCCTGTTTCCCTAGATCAGTTTTGTTGTGTTCGTCTCTTTCGTCCTGTCTCGCTCGTCCACAAACTCCCAAACCCTAGACCCTGCTAGCCGTCTGCCACCTGTGTCCACTCAAAGTCCGGATCGTCACCAGTTTCTGCTGATCGAAGTCCTTGATGTGAGTGGGCTCCCATGGAGGGGGTAGAAGGGTTGATGGAGAAGCTTGAATCTGTCGGCGACGGAGAAGTAGAGCATCAAGCAGCTGGCTAACCAGTCCCGCGTGCCCAATGAAGCTCATGGCGTGGAACTGTCGAAGCCTGTCTGAAACTCGGTTGGATGATCATAGATTGGAGAGAATAAAATTCTCTCTGGGTTCGTCAAATATGGTGGCGGTGAAAGAGGATGGAAAAGGAGGGGGAATTGCTGTGTTGTGGAGGAGGGGGTCAATGTGATTTTGAGGAACTATTCGATAAATCATGTTGATGTTGATGTGGTGGAAGATGATGGATTTTGCTGGCGATTCACAGGCATCTATGGGGAGCCTAGAGTGGAACACAAATATCGCACGTGAAAATTATTGAGAGACCTCCATGGGCTGCGAGCTATGCCGTGGCTATGCGCAGGTGATTTTAATGAAATTCTTCACCATCATGAAAATGAAGGGGGAGTGCCAAGGTCACAGTCCTATTTGGACAGCTTTAAACATGCGTTGGAGGACTGATTTGGGGTTCACAGGGATGTTTTCACCTGGTGTAATCACAATCATAACAGTGATGATTATATAAAGGAAAAATTGGATTGGGCAGTAGCGAATGGAGATTGATGTGTTGCTTGCTTTCTAGATCAACCATTTTTAATTTTTTCAACTAAGCATATCAAATGTTTCTTAGATCACCACTTATATTTTAGCCTTTGAAGCCACGCTTGGTGAACCTACAAAAGGCGGCAAGTCCCTACACTAAGGAGAAATGACCTCGCTCCAAAGAACCATTCTTGATACTCACTTTAGATAACTTGATTGATTTATCCAAGTGATGGACTTAATTTGATGAGTAATCTTGAATCCTTCTTTAAGTCCTTTTCTTTCTACTTGTTTAAGTCTTTTTCTTTCTACCAAATGATCTCCAATAATCACAAGAACTTAAACTCTATCTACATTTTGAGTTTGATCTTGATCTTTAAATTAAGTACCAAATGTGTGCCAAGTACACTCCATAATTAAATGGCCTTATACTCTTTGCTTGTCATGCTTCTAGATCAATCCAAAATCGAACTTAGGTACCTCAACCACTTATAATCATATTTCCAGCTTGATGACCTTTCAATTATAATGACTATTGACCAATCCAATAATTGTTACTTTTCTGACAGATTCTGTATCATTCAAAGATAAATCCATAACTCACAATGTATAGATCCAAATACCACGAAATTCTGTGGAGATGTTCTTCAATAAGTCATCTAGCAGATGTAAAAATTTGGTCTTCATTTGACTTATATATTGCTACCATATTTCACATCTTTCCATACTACTATATGATGAAAACTGTTGCACTATAGCTGACAAGATCTACTCCAAAACCGAAGCATTTCTTATTCAATTCTTATAAAATTCATACACAAACTAACACCATAAGTCTAGAGCAAAATTTCAATTCAATCCAAATAGATTTGATCATTCAAACTCAGACTTGATCTCAGCTAGCTCAGTTTTTATAATAAAGGACATATTTCAATACTTGAGTTATTCTTCTCCAAAAGAGAATTAAACTTAAAACTAACTTTGTTTGAATACTTTCACAAGACATATATCCATTCAATCCACTTATTAAAAGTCATCTTATAAACTTATCCAACTCAAATCAATCCAAACTTTTACTAATCAATTAATCCATTCAATCATCTCATAGCAAGCAACATGTGTATATCCAATTCAAACATCTTATACACACCCAAATAAATTAGATCAACTAAGAATATACCTTGGTTAGTTCATGATCATCCATAGCAAGTTTCAACTCAAATTTTTATAAGCCACCAAATAATCCAATAAATCACCACAACTAGAATTGTTGCACTTATATGTTGTAGCACATTTGGACTTCACTAACTTGACTTGGCATTGGGATAGAATAGCACTAAGCTTTAATACTTGACTCAAGATATGATGAACAATAAGAATTTCATTGAATCAAGCCTCCAATGCCATGGTACCTACAATCAATCATCCACTTTTTGATGGTACCCAAACTTGTTTGGATCCTCTCAAGTTAGGAGCAACATACTTAGGCATAGCCTTAGTATGAGTAGCGGGATGTTTAGCAATAACAACCGTAGAGGTACCATTTCTATCCTTCCTAAGTATAGAGTCATCATATTGAAATAGGCTTAGGAATGTTACCTTGGGGACATGAATTAGCCATGTGTCCCCTTTTTTGACATGAGTAGCAATTTCTCTTGGATTGAACCCTTTCTTCCATGCTCTTGTATTGCTTCTCCTTGCCTTGCCTCTTGGGAATTGCTTGAGCCTTCTTCTCAATCTTGGTAGGACACTTCGAGGCAAAGTGTCCCATATCTCCACACTTAAAGCACTTGATGTGAGCATAGACTTTCTTCTCTTCTTGATTCTTGCTCATCATCTTGGCATCTTGAATAAACATTTGATGCCTTGCTCTTTCACCCCTTCTTGTTTTCTTCATCTTCTTCTTCATGTCACCACCATCTTCATGGTTGATCTTGATTTGCTCTTGGGGCTTCTCTTCTTGCTCAACTTGTGGCTTTGATTGAGGCTCTTCTTGTTGCTTCAACACTTGTTTGGTTGGGCACACAGAGGTAAGATGACCCCATGTGCGGCACTTGAAGCACTTGACATGCTTTAGCCTCTCTTCTTCCTTCATCAACTGTCGCTAGGATGTGTGTGTGGGGAGGATGATGATTCGATTGTGAATCATCTCCCATTTTGTATTCAGACCATGGTTGCCGCCGAGAGGGCGGTCGTTGAGTAATGGAATCATATTTCCATTTAAAAAAAAACAATTCGAGTGTGATCCATGATGAGATATAGTTGTCTTGCCAATGCGGTAGTAAGAACGGCGACTGCATGGTTGGGATTGTCCTAAGTGACTAGAGGTACTTCCTCTATTTTTAAATATATATACACTCCTTTCCTTTTTAAATTGTATTTTTTTATAGTTTTGTCCTAAGTCAAACTTTTCTAGTTTTCACTAAGTTTATAGAAAAATGCATAAACATCTAAAGTATCAAACTTAATCCATTAGATACACCATGAAATATACATTAATAATGGATTGATTGATGTTGTAGATGTTCATATATTTTCTTCATATTTTTTTGGAAGTTAGATATATTTCACTTAGGACAAGACCAAATGGCTTAAGATTTGAAATGGAGGGACTATTGTTTACAACTAATGAATTTTTAGTAATTGTCATATATTTAAGGAAGAAGAGAGCAGTTTTTTTTCTTTAGTTCTTTCTTAAATGTTAATATGCAGTGCAAATTATATCTTAGGTGCAAACATGTAACCATTACAAAAAACACATTTTGATCATTCAAAAAGATTTAAAACTTGGTACATCCATTGCCCACTCATATATGTACTCACATGCAAAATTTGAGATGCAAACATAAACTTGAAAAATTCATACAAAA